TTCAAAGATTGCCATCCCATGCTATGCCCAGTCAACAACCAGAAGTAATCCATTTAACATTCGTTAAACATTTTTCTACTACTAAACCTGCAATAAAAAAAAAAATTTTTTGACGTGGTCAAAAGTATGTAGCGTGTAACAGAACACCAAACAGTCTGCACAAGTTATACTAGTACATGTACTGGATGATAATACAACTCTTTTTAGAAATTAATTTTAAATATTATAAAGAATATTAATTAGTTCTATTTAAAAACAAATAAAGAAGTTATCTTTAAAAAAAAAAGTCTAATTAGAGTTTGGATTTTAATTATAATATCTAGATAAACCCCACTACTCTCATATTAAGACATATTCATTTTAATAACAATCAATTAACAAGAAATTAGTAAAGAATCATCATTATATCCGTTCGTGCTTCGTGGTTTTTTCTCATTCACCCGTTCTCTAGGTAGTGAAATTATTATCGTACTTCGTGGTTTTTTCTCATCCACGTTTTTCACGTAAATCTTATGATACTGGTTTTTCTATTCTTTATTTATTATTACTAGGTATTCTATTTCGTTACTCTTTGTGAACAACATCCACAAAATCAACCCATATTACAGGACATTATAGAAGCTGCGGTATGGTTGAGTTCAGTGACTTTTCTTGATGTTCGTTGACAATGCTTGTAAATATTCAATATTCAACACGGGATAGAACTGCAACTTTTCAATACCTACCGAGAAATTAAGAAACTTTCTTGGAAATAACCTCCGTGGACCCAAAACCTTTCTATATATTCCCAACCATCATCTTTACTTTCTTCTACTAATTGCTATCGAGATCTAAAATTCATCTTCTCCCAGAATTTTGCAGATTGTCATCTTCAACAAACTCAAACAAGTTAGAGTTTACATTGATTTTCTTCTAAGATGTCCACAGAGCAGCTTCCTAATGTTAGATTAAGGCCCGCGGTTTCAAAGCAACTGACACAAAAAGATGAATTAGCGACGGAAAGTAGCACTCCAGCTTCAACCGGCAGAACGGTGGTTAATAATCAGCCAGCGATGCCTTTGTCCCCGTCGAGACGGTCGTCTTTCTCCCAACGAGCAATATCCCAGACTCTAACTGGCACGGCGAACCTCGCTAACCTCCTTCCGACGGGAACCCTCCTGGCCTTCCAGATCCTCATGCCAATCTTCACCAGCAACGGCGCCTGCGACTCCGCCACGCGCCCGATGACCCTCGTGCTCCTCCTCGTCCTCGCCCTCTCATCCTTCCTCGCTTCCTTCACCGACAGCGTGAAAGCCTCCGACGGTCAGGTGTATTACGGGTTCGCGACGTTTAAGGGGATGTACTTGTTTGACTATCCCGACCCGACCGGGTCGGGTTTGCCAGACTTGACCAAGTACAAAATCAGGTTCATTGATGGGGT